TGAGTCGGGCTTTTTCTTACGGATTCTTCGCACTATTGGGGTGAACGGAGACGTAATGACACGTGCACGCCGTCTGATGCGTAAACTCCGTCTTACAAGAAAAACCTAACGTAGAGCATCCACCTTAGCGGGCCGCTAAAAATAAATTAATAAATAAATCAGTAAATAAACAGACATGATATTAAACAATGAAAATAAAGACAAATATATTTCAAACTTGCACGATATTCACCCAAGTCATTATTCTATCATTGTTCACAAAATGCATCAGATAATATTCCAGAAGTAATCACTTATATAAACATTTAAAAGGACAACATATAGGTTTAGTGCAGGTTCAATGACAACATAAAGAGTAGTAGTTTATTCTTGAAACTTAAATTTTCAACACTGTGAAGTTAGTATTTGTCTTTGTCTTTTAGTTGAAGTAATGCAATTCATTTAAGTTTCAATTTGCAGAAGAAGAATAGAATCTCAAACTTAAAATTGCAACACGAATGACTATTGCAACGCGAAAATGACTATCGCAACGCGAAAATGACTATCGCAACGAGAGAATCACAATGTGATTTTCATTTCGAATTGCGATTCTTTCGTTGCGATAGTCATTTTCGCGTTGCGAAAGTAAACTATTCTTCTTCTGCAAATTAAAACTTGAATGGATTGCATTACTTCAACCAAAAGACAACCAAAAACAAATACTAACTTCACAGGGTTAAAGAATAAACAGTTTAGCAGTATTGGCAGCAACCGAATGAATTTACTAAGTAATCTAAGTGAAATGGTTAATCTAAGTGAAATGGTTAATCTAAGTGAAATTACGAGTAAATTTATCATCAAGTTAAATATGAAAAATATTAAACTTACCTCGTTGCGTAGAGTATGAACCTCATTCTACAACGATGCTACCATCTTACGTAGAGCGGCTACCTCACCACGTAAAGTAGACACCTCAACACGCCATGCACCATTGTCATCGCGTAAAGTACCGACCTCCTCACGCAAGGCATTGACCTCATCACGTAACTCCCTTAATTCATCCCGTGGAGGTAGAGGTGGAGAACAGAGAGATAAACGTCGTGGCATCTTTCTCGGTCGTCTATCATGAGGTGATGGTGGAGAAGAGGCTCGATGATGTGACAGAATAGGTAATGGCTCTCGTTGTGGAGGTGTATAGTCGGGTCGATCAGGTGATGGCTCTCGAAGTGGAGGCTTCTCATCATCCGTGCCATCAAAAAAACGCTTACTAGCTTGCCACCAATCAGTGGCAAGCTCAACTTCCGTAGGTGTCAGCCTCTGTAATGGAGTGTTGATCTCCTAACAATATAAAAGCTCAAACAAAGTTAAACGTGTAATAGTAATAACTTATTTATAAACATATAGTAGTATTTGTGTTAACTTACATTATTTATTGTCGTATATGGTTGTAAATCTTCCCATTGTTGCAAGGTATGTCTCCTCTTCCAGGAAATAGCCCTAGGAATATCATTAGAAGTTTTTAATGCATATGTCTGCATGGCAGGAAATGCCTCAAATATCCAAATCTACAAACAATATAATAACAAACATTAGTAATTGTTAAATAATAATTAATTATAATTTTGGAAACATTATATAAAAATTCTTACCTTAAAGGGCCAAATAAAGCCTGACAAAGTGTATTTGGAAGCATCGCCACGCAAACTTTTTCGATCATCAAAGGCAGACGACAACTTATTCCATGTAGCTTTCCATAGATACGAACCCCACGGAAACATGTTCCATGCATTTAGGTTCTCTACCAATTTAATTAGATCATTAGGAATAGGTTGTCTGGCCTCTCTGCCTAAAAAGCTGGCATGCAAAAGTATTAGAAGGCATACTCGGACAACATCGACGTCATCCATCCGAGTAAAACCATCTTTCTTATTCAATAATCTTATCAAGTCTTCCACGTGTAAATTCGGCTTCTCCATTGACAGCTCAGGAAAAACCCGGGATAACCATGATAGGCGGGTAATATGTCTAGTGTACCGGCCTACATCATCGTGTCCGAAGCGTAGACCGTTGATTAAGCAAAACTCCTCCCGCCCAAAATATGTATACGCCGGTGGAAAATCAAACCATATCTCTTCATCACGACGTTGTATAGTCTCTGGTAGATCGCTAGTTATGGTTTGAAGAAACAGATGGGTCAACATAGCATCTCCACCCGGATGTTGTACTTTCAGCCATGGCCCGAAGCAAGTATCCTCAAATATTTTTCTTTGTGCAGGTGAAAGCTTCGACGCAATTGTTTTGGCCAGGCTTAATTTATTTCTTAAGGTCAATTGCGCTGAATAAAAGTCCTACAAAAACAATAAACATATCAAGTTAGATATACCAAAAACTACACTGTGAAGATATACCAAGAACAATAAACATAAAGAGTAGTAGTTTATTCTTCAAACTTAAATTTGCAACACTGTAAATTTAGTATTTGTCTTTTTTTTTGTTGAAGTAATGCAATTCATTCAAGTTTCAATTTGCAGAAGAAGAATAGTTTCTGAAACTTAAAATCGCAACACGAAAATGAAAATCACAACACAAAAATGACTATCGCAACGCGAATTTGACTATCGCATTGCGATTCTGTCGTTGCGATTTTCATTTCGCGTTGCGATTCTCGGTTTCAAATACTAAAATTGAAACTTGAATGTATTGCATTACTTCAACCAAAAGACAAAACAAAGACAAATACTAAATTCACAGGGTTTAAAGACTAAACAGTTTAGCAGTATTGGCAGCAATCGAATGAATTTAATAAGCAATCTAAATGAAATGGTTAATCTATTATTAAATTACCAGTAAACTTATCATCAATTTCAATATGAAAAACCTAATAATAATACAAAAATTTCAAAATAAAAATAATTAAAAAAAACTAACCCTCGGTGGTTGATTTGGTTGATTTTTCATTTATGACCGTGAATGATTGTGAGGGTCGCTCTGAGAGATGGAGATAGACGGATTTCGCCGGAGATGGGACTGATTTCGTCGGAGATGGGGACGGATGTCGCCTTAGAGAGTGAGAGATGGAGATGAGATGAGTTGAGTTGTGATTTAGGGTTTTAGGTTATGAGTTACGATTACGAGATATACTGTGGACGGTTCAGTGTTCCGATATATTAATATTCGTGTTTGGAATTTGAAAAAAATATGCGTTGCGATAATAATGACGCTTTGAAAATCGCGTTGCGATAGTCAGAATCGCATTGCGATAGTCAGAATCACGTTGCGAATCTGGAAACTGATTTGCGATACCGGAGATTGCGTTGCGAATTATCGATCGCATTGCGATTTAGTTGGTCATTTTGGCAAATCCAAAAAAGGTTGGTTAAAATCGTATATTATAAGGCATTTTTGGTCACTGAGGTTATTTTTTCTATTAAATATTAACTCAAATATAGCATAAAACATGTATAAAAGTGGATTAAAGGCAAATTTTGATTTAACATGTTAAGAAAACAATCTTATTAAATTTTATTAACATTGTTTTTTTAATAGGTCAAATGTAACTTATTAAAAATAATCAGAAAAAATCATTTTAAATCTAAATTCGTACTTAATATTTAAAATTTTTAATAAGTGCAATATTTTTTTTATCATTTGAGAATATTTGATGGATTGAATTATTTCTTTCATTTAAATGCGTATATAATATGTATGGAGTGACATATGGAGGCTCATTTTCCTTTTGTATATTAAATCTTAAATATTCAATGCGATAAGGAGCACTCTCAAATCATTTATTAAAAAGAACCTATACAAAATACGAGGATAAGTAACATTTGAGGTATAAATGAAAGGTTGAGTGGTATTGTGTAAGGTCTAAAATTAAGATGAAATATCACCACAAAACAAAGAGCTTATCCATTCTTATCTCTTTTATGTTTCCTAGAAAGAAGGAACATGTTCTAGTGGTGTATTTTATCCTGCCAAGAAAAAAATATCAAATATTCTACAAAATCATTCTATCTTGAAGTTGTCCTTTTTCATTTCAAAGTTGGGGATCTCTGGAAACCCATTAATGATTTTGCTCAATTTAATCTGGGGATTGGGTTCTGTTTCAATTGATTAACCTCAAAATGGGCCTCTCCCATTTGACATCAAGTGTTGAAGAAGGGTTTTCATGGCCCGTTTCAACAACAATCGAAACCTCCATTGATGAGAAGAAGCTTCTTCTTCCCCCTTTTGTAACATCAGAATCATGAGGTGTATTTTCAACATAAAACTTTGTATGATGAGCCCGACAAACAATGTCCAACAGTTGGGCAAAAAGGTGGACAAGTTACACTCCTGTTAGACCATAAACAAATATATCGACTCATTATCTGCAGTGCATGCATGAACCAAACCTGATCTGCTGGTCTATGACTATAATCTAAATTCATGTAAACTTTCAGAAGAGAGCAATAACCAACACATATCTCCATCTAATTCTAGCAAATCATATAGAAATGTTAACGAAACCGGGAAATCCAGGGACCAGCCGCCACTGGAGCTTCCATAACAATGACACATACCCACAGCAGGACAACAGCCAAGAGAAGAACAAAAAGTAATAATTTTTTAATTAATTTCATGGGAAGAAGTGTTTCTTTAAGTTGGTAAAGAATCTCTGATACCGTGTATTCTCTCCGGTCTCCCTTGCTTGAAATTATCCTTTACTGGCAGTTAAAAGATTTAGCTCTTGGCGTGTCAAGAAACATAGAACTGACCCCATGAAACCAGTAACTATTTTTCTGATCATCCTCCAACCAAGTAAAATAATTTTACTATTAAATTATGGAAATATCCACGATTCGTTGGTATAGTATTGTAGTTTTATTATTGCATATGATATCTGAAAATAATAATTTCATAAAAATCTGAGAAATCTTTCAATAGATTAATATGATTTGTAATAATATTCGTAACAAAGAAAGGGTTAAAGCTAAAAAGGATTGTTTATTAAATTTGATAACTACTACTTACAGTCATTAATCAAAAGCACAAGAAACTCGAAAATCAGTTGATCTTCGAGAAAACAAAGCCTCCCAAATCTCAGAAAAGGCCTGAACAATGACCCCATGATGATGCCTAGAATTCAAAGACAAGAAACAATGCAGTAGCTGTTCTAAATCTTTTTCTTCAAACATTTGCTTCTCTAATATCATATCCACCATCGACCTCTTAAAATCCTCGTACGGATCCTCCGATTTCTTCACCACGGCGAAACTCTCCCTCACTTTACTGTCCACCGTGCACGGTATCATCCGTTGCAGAAAGCTCGACAACCTCGCCGGCGAATCGCTCTCCGAAGCGTACCTTTTTGCCTTCTTTACCGTCTTGGATTTCTTCTTGTTTTGCCTCGTAGGCTTTGTTTCGAGTATGGCTTGTAAGTTGGCATTGAACATCTCTGAGAAGGAATCAAAGGAGAAGCTCCTCGAAGAAGAGACTAGGGTTTCCGTTTCTTCGTTATTAATATCATCGTCTTCAAAGCTTTCGCTGCTAAACAATCCGCTGTCGGCCGACGAGGTGCTTATCCGGATTTTCGGCGTCGTTTTCTTCTTTCTGTATCGTCGTTTTTTCTTCACCGTGTTCGGAGGCGGTGGAGGTGGAAATAAACCGTCGTCTTTTTCAGAGCTATTGTAGATTTTGCGACGAGGGGTTTCATCATCGCCGTAAACTTTAGCAATAACGTGCCAACTGTCTTCTTTTTCCCAGTGGAACTCCAATGTCGACGCCGGCGGTGATCCACTGCGGTCAGTTTCAGACAAGTACTTTGAGGACGATCTTGACCCGAGGCAGCAGCCGAAGGACGAAAACGCGCAGGAAACGTGTCGTTTTAGGGAAGAGTAATGAGGCAGCTTTGACGACGTCGGTTGTGGTAGTATGTGGCGGGTGATAAGGTTTCGTTTAACTGAAGGAAGTCTGAAGAATGAAGGGACAGGATTTAATGGGAGATTAGAAGGGTATTTTGAACTGTAAGATTGGAACGAAGTGAAGACTCGGGATAGCTTAAGCTTGAAGCGTTTCGCCATTTTCATGCTCGTAAATTATGTTCTGTTAGCTCACTGTTTAGGTTTGTCTTGGAGCGATATAGAGATGCATTTGTCCAGGACATTAACCTCCTGATTTGTCTGAGAAAAGTTAAGAGTTATATAGAGAGAGAGGGAGGAATGAAGACGTGGCTTCCCTTGTGGATTTTTTTGTCAGCTACAACAAAAAGGAATAAATGAACTCGGAGTGCTACACTTTATTTGCTATAGGAAAACATTTAAAAAAGACAGTGACTCAGTCAGTTTGTTAGCAATCACTTGTTTTGACTACTTTATCATGTTGACGTTTGAAAAAAAAAAGTTCAAGCGTATAATTATATTGTAAACATGTTGATATTTTTTTTTGAATCATTGACCGATTAAGACTTGAGTGAGCAGCAATGATATCTATCATTGGTTCATTAGAATAATGTAGGTTAATCGTTTGTGATAAAGAAAACTATTCACTTAGCGGGTAAGTTTAACTTTCAATGGCAGGAAAAAAAAGGGGGTAGAACACAAAGAAACACTCATCGACAGCAATAATGGCGATGGAGATGGTACAATAACAAAGCAAGAAAGTAAACTGAAACTCTTTAATTTGAATATTTTTTTTTAGTATTATTTATTCTATATTTTTTGAATTGACACCTTTTCAGTTGAGGTAGCGAAAGGCACATCTCGGGGACGCGCTTTACTTGGTTTTACGCTTAGTTGGAAGCCACGTGTGAAAGACGCATCCTCGAGGACGCGCTTTACCTTTATTTGCTGATTTAGTTACCACGTGTGAAAGGCACATACCGAGGACGCGCCTTTCATTAAATGTCTTAAATACCCATCCGATTTTCCCCAACTACCTCTCTTCCTCCCTTATATAAATCCCCTCAACCCTCCCTCATTATTCACACCAAAATCTTCTTCTCCTTTATTATATAGCTCAAATTCTCTAAATCTTTGAGTTTTAAATTTCTTATTAGTAGTAATAAATTTATTTTTCAGTTATTTTTTTAAATAGTTATTATATTTTATATTAATATAATTATATAAATATTATTTTTTTATTAAAATAATATTTATATAATTATTATTTATTTAAATTTATTAATTAATTATTTTTTGTGCTAATTATTATTTTTTGTCTACAGTTATAATAGAAAGTGAAATGCTGCTGCGATTGGATGCTGACCATATCTCCAGACATTTTAGCGATATGATAATATTTTTTTATAATTAATGTTAATATTTATTGTTATGTTTAATTTAAATTTATTATGAATTTATATTAATTTTAATTTTTTATAATGCATATTATTTAGGATTCTGATCGTATTTTAGAGACATTTATTAAAAATCTACGTATACCGACACCGGCACGTATTTTGCCATTTTTGGCTTCTGTCGGGTTCGGATATATTGCAACAATCATTGGCGGTTGCAAACTCGAACCTATCCTAATTTCTGCATTGATTGAGAGGTGGAGGCCCGAGACACACACTTTTCACCTTCCATGTGGAGAGGCTATAATTACATTGAAGGATGTCTCTATGCATCTGGGGCTTCCCGTCGACGGAAATATGATGTGTGTGGTATGGTGGATGGTGATTGTCAGTCAATGTGCATTGATTATCTTGGAGCTGCTCCGCTAGAGTTTAATGGAGGTAGAATAGCTTTATCTTGGTTGAAAGCTAATTTTGAGGTTTTAAATGAAAATGCTTCAGAGGATCAAGCAAAGGCATGTGCTCGGGCATATATTCTACGAATAATTGGAGGAATATTGATGCCCGACAAATCTCGCAACCAGGTGCATTGTATGTTGTTGCGACATCTGATCGATTTTGATGAAGCTGGAAGATATAATTGGGGCGCTGCAATTTTGACATTTCTCTTTAGAGAAATGTGTCGGGCGACAAATTATAAGAAAACTGCTATCGGTGGATGTCTCTTGCTTCTGCAATCATGGGCGTGGTTCCGCATGCCTTTCTTATGCCCGATAGTAAATGAACCATACGTATTCCCCTTATTGTCGAGGTAATTATCGAACTAAATTTTGATTTAAATATTTTTAATTAAATAGGGTGATATTTAGTTTATATTATATTTCATAGGTGGTCGATGAAAAGAAAGAATCATAGAAGTATACATACTGGGTTAGAGGAAATTCGTTTACTTATTGATACAAAAGCTGGGTCTGAGGTATGTTTTTACACCTGTTTAAATATTAATATTTTAATTTAAAATGCTAGATATAATTAGAATATTTTATTTATTTGAATTGTATATTTATATTTCAGTTTCAATGGATACCTTATGCGAGCGATGAAGTGAAGGCTTGCATCCAACCCCACCTTGGTGGGTCATTAGAGGTTTGGATATCGGTTATACCTCTTATATGTTATGCTATTATTGAGTGACATCCAGTTGATCGCGTGCTCCGTTAGTATGGTTGTACGCAATATATTCCTGGAGCACCTAGGAATTTAGACGACGTGCATAACATAGATAGACGAGGAAAGAAAGATGTTAACTGGGTGGTGAGACACAGAGATTGGATTGCACTTTGGGAGAACCGGTATGCACAGTTGGCCCCTCGACAATATTACACTGAAACTGGTCATATGGTTATGGATAACTATATAGACTGGTTTAATGAAAATGGGAAGCCGTTTCTACTTTCGGCGGAAGCACGAGGGGTTAGCATTCCTAGGCGCCGAGAAAGACGTCAACCGTCTCAATATCATCGTCTTCCGACGCATGGACGGAGAGAATGTACTACCGGTTCTGCATCAGTCCCACCATAACATCCTTATCCACCGATGCCACAATGGTACATGCCTAACCCTCCACTTCAGATGCCATCTCCTCAGGGGTATATGCCAAGCCCACCAGTTCATATGTCATCTCCGCAGGGTTACATTTCTAGCCCGCAGGGTTACATTCCTAGCCCGCCAGGTTACATGCCTAGCCCGCAGGGTTTTATACCATATGGAGGTGTATATACGGCTATGTTTAATGATCCATCATATGGTTCATTTGCATCTTATTTGGCTGGTGGTGCTTCTCCTCAAACACCTCAATCTCCATCTGGATCACAGACATTGATGCCAATGTTTCCACAATTTTCACAGTTCTCGGGGAGCGGTGGGATGATTACTAGCACTCCTCCAGGGTCATTATTTTATACAGCCCCTTCAGCATCATCTACGTCAAATGAAGTAAATACCGATGATGATGATAGTGAAGATGAAGAGACTGAAGAACAAGTTCCACGAAGAAATCCTCCGCGAAATAAACAACCACCGCCATGTGGAACTCATTCGAGAAGACGACATCGGTGATCTAGTTGTATTTTAATGTTATTTAAATAGTTATATTTCAGAAATTTATGTAATTTGGTTATGTTATTTAAATGTTTAATGGTTGTTACTGCCAATATTTTTAATGTTATTTTTTATTCAAATTTAACATTAAATGTTTAATAAATGTTTTTAAAATACAAATTATAGTATTTGAAATTTAAAATTAAAATACAAATAATATTATTCAAAATTTAAATTTAAAATATAAATTATAGTATTCAAAATTTAACATTAAATTCAAGTTAATATTCCAATTGTATTCGAAATTAAAAGTTATATTTCAATTATAGTTCACAATACTTAAATTGAAATTAAATTTATCCATACATATGATTTATCATTAACATATATTAAAACATATACATTAAATCAACTTATCACTTCATATTTATTCGTAAAAACATGTCGATGCTCATTCCATACAATTTCAATGTCACAATAAACTTATCACTTCACATTTATTCAATTTATCCATAACATTCTTCCCGCTGCGTTTGCCCTCGTTCAAGGAGAAGACACTGAGTCTTGGGCTTTTTTTCCTTAAAAATTTACGTTTACATGTTGTCACCAGAGAACGAGTATGCATTATTTCAGACCGAGGAGCCGGGATAAAAGCAGCAATGGACTCTTTGGGTACAATGTATAGACCTCCACATGTTCAACATCGTTATTGTGTCCGTCATATTGCTGCAAACTATTACGGAAAATACAAGAAGAACGATGAACGTCAATTAGTCGTGCGGATGGGTATGTTACTTTTCCCCAATTTTTCTATTATTTTCGTATTACTTATTTATACTTTATATTAACTATTATATATTCCTAATGGCTTAGGTTACGAACTCTTACCTCAAAGGTTTGAGTCGATGCTACAAGAGTTGTTTGGCAAAAATAAGAAGGGGTGCGAGTACATTATGGACATCAACAAAGAAATGTGGACAAATGCGTATGACGGGGGGTATCGCTATGGTCATATGACAACAAACTTGGCTGAAGCAATAAATTCAACCTTAAAGGGGGCGTGTCATTTACCAGTCACGACATTGGTCAAAACGACTTATTTTCGTTTGGGTCAACTCTTTGCAAAGCTCGGTGGAAAAGCTCTTACTTGGATGCAAAACAGTCATATTTACCACCCAAGACTAGTAGCTGATTTACAGAAAAAAGTGGTTGCATCAAATGGGATGTTGGTTACAAATTTTTCTCGCGCTCGTGAATTGTTTCGTGTAACCGAAAAGCCACATCCGTTGCAAGGGATTGAAGCTAACTCTTTCAGAGTTAATCTGCATGAGATGTGATGCGATTGTGGTTTCTTTCAAGCACTCAAATATCCATGCTCTCATGTCATTGCAGCTTGCTCACATTCGCATTTGGACTACAAAAATTATGTTGATCCCGTATACCAACTTTCACAAGTATTAAAGGTATATGAATTTGAGATTCCGCCCATAGGAAACGAAAGAGACCCAAATGAGATTCAAACTTGGCTTACAATTGTACCAGATCCATTGCTATTGAGGGACTCAGGTCGTCCAAAATCTACTAGAATACATTGTGATATGGATATTCGGGAGAAGTCAACAGAACAAAAACGATGTGGGCATTGTAGAAACATCGGACACAATAGGAAAAAATGTCCAGCTCTATTATCATCACATAATCGTTAACCCTTATGTAACATAATATTCTATTTAAATGAATGTTTTTGTTATAATATTTAAATGTAATTGCATTTTCTATAATTTCTCAATGTATAATAATAATAACAGATCAAATGTGTAATTGTACTAATTTTATTAACTTATGCATCAATATTTTGGTTAAATAATAATAACAGATGACTAGATTGATAATATTTAAATAATTAAGTGATCAAATTAATAGATCGATAATCAAAATAAAAAATAATAGTATAACCATACGTGTAATATAATAATTTTATACATTTTTCATATAACTACAATAAAATAAAAATTAGTTTTCATTGGTTGTTCTATCCGATTAATATGGATAATACACTCCACCTTTAACACACATTAAAAAAATACATTCGATAATTATTAAATTATAATTAAAACAATTTACATAATATATTACTAATTTATAATAACAATAGAAATAAAATTTTTATTATTAAAAAAAATATCGCGTAACAACTGAATCAACAAAATAAAGGTAAAGCGTGTCCTTGAGGATGCGCTTTTCATACGTAGCATCCAACTCAGCGTAAAACTATGTAAAATGCGTCCTCAGAGATGTGCCTTTTGCTACCTCAACCGAAATAATATCACTTCGAAAAATATAAAACAAACTACGCTAAAAAAAAGAGATATTTGATTAAAAGATGTGAGTTTGGTCAAATCACCTAGGGACCTGATCTAATCAATAGCAATCATGGTGATGACTGGAAATGATACGAGTCGTCAATTAGTCGTTTCTATTTCCTCATAAAAAGAAGTGCTCATCCATGGCCTACCCTTTTGAAAAAGGAATAAGGAAAGTTCATACTTTATAGCTCATCTTCGTCCTTTAGTTATATAGCATTACGATTTGCAGGTTGACAACCCTGAACATGCTGGATAATGGATCTATCCCTCAGGATTCAGCTCCGCTTCTAGCGACTTTACTGCTGCCTGCATCACTGTGGGTTTGTTTTCGTTAAAGCCTCGAATACTTGTATAGTTTTTAACTTTTTATATTCAGTATATATATTACTCCCACGTTGATGAATAGTGTAAATATTTTGAATTAAAACAGGAAAAGTAAGTCTATGCAGGTGCATTTCGAGTGTGTTGTAGAAGAACTGAAGAAGTGTAGAGTATTTCTTCTACATTTTTCACGAGGAATATGTTGTTAAAGCAAAAAGCTTGCATGTACGGGGAATAATAACAGAATACAAATTGCAGCTCATTTATTCATTTCTATAATCTGAAAATTTACTTGCATCGATCTTTAATTAGAAGGAGCCTAAGGGGAGCTGCCTAAACCCTAAAGGACCACGTAATGATAACCCATGGTGTAATAGCCACGTTACAAAGATATTGGCCAAAAGTTTTTCACTTCTAGCTGTTTACCACTTGGCTCAGATGACTAATTATCCGTTCCTTGTTTATTTTAACAAAGTACTTACTTTCTAGTGAAAGAGGAACAGTCACAGGATCAAAAAGAGAAGTAAAATGAACTTGAATTAAAGCAAGTGCTGTACTTTTCGGGTTAAAAAAAGGGTTGCATCTGGGTGAAAACTGAAAAGATGATATTAGAATTCAAATGATATACTTTATAGGAAATGAGATCTGGCAGAGAATTAATGATAGTGTCGAGAGTTCAAACGCGTGCAACAAGGAAAAGGTTGAATATAAAGAAAAATCTGTGGGGCAGAGGGAAAGTCAATCCAAAGAAGCTCCTCTGAGCGCGCATGGTGGGGATCCAAGGAAACAGAATCATCCATATTCCAAATGTTTTCTCCTTTTTGTTACTTTCAGAGGGACGCAGACCTCATTTTCGCTAAACTTTGCTCTCAACGTAAATCCTCGGGTTTCTTTTCTTCCAAATTTCGAAGGCGATTTTCTTAAAAAAAAATCATAACCAATTTTATTTATCTGTCAGACATCATTTCATCTTTTTTTATTGATTTAATACTTTTGAACGAAGGCGCTGTGTATGCATCCGCCTTATACCAAGTTTTAAAAGACACGGCCCATTAACCGTGACTTGCTAGACATGTAAAAATCGAACGCTAATTTAATAATTTTTTTAAATTAGTGTTAAATATGTAATTAATTTTTGTTAGAGTGATATTTATATAAAAATGTTAATTTTATTCATTTATTTTTTGTGTGCATAAAAAAAACATTTTGCATTAAAATCTTTAAATATTTTTTTACAAATTATTTTATAACTCGATAAATTTTGATTTTTACATGAAATTATACAATACTATAATATAATGTAGGAAAACTTTGAGTGTAAGTAATTTAAAATATGAATAATTTTATAAAAAGTTTTATAACTAGTATTTCTTTTACAAAATGATGATTATGATAAGAAATATTTTATAATTTAAAAAATTATAAATTTCATATATTTTTTAAAAATTTAATTACTTTTAAAATTAATTATTTAAAATATAAAAATATTAAAATAAACTTTTAATTACAATTGAGGGATTAAATGAATTATTATTCGTTAATTATTATTTTTTTAATAATAATTAATAATATTTATTCATTTTTAATTACAATTGAGAAAGCAAAGAAACTTGGAAATAAAAGACTGTATATAAGAAATATAAATTACTACCACATACCTCTACGAGATGGTAAATGAGCAGTAACGTATGAGGTGTGTGCAACTTGTTGAACTTAGCAAATTTTAGTGGAATTTGATTTGAACAACTTATTCTTTAACATTTGCTTTCTTATCTTCATCACTGCATCTTAATCATTTTGTGTATTTTGATATGCTAGTTATAAAACTTTTATAAAATTATTCATATTTTAAATTACTTACACTCAAAGTTTTCTTATACTAGATTATATGTATTGTGTTGTTTCATACAAAAATCAAAATTTTCGAGTTATAAAATAATTTGCAAAAGAATATTTAAAGATTTTAATGTAGATTTTTTTTCACACACAAAAAATAAATAAATAAAGTTGAAGTTTTTACACAAATATAATCCTAACAGAAATTAATTATATATTTAGTACCATTTTAAAAATATTTATAAAATTAGCACTTGATTTTTTACAAGTTTAATAAGGCGCGTTGCATGAGCCACCGCTCCTTACCTCACGTGGTGTTAGATTAAAACGTGGTGCATTGGTCGTGTCTTCTTGTTAATGGTGTTAGATCGATAAATAAAAATGAAAAGATGTTTGACAGGTAAATAAAATTGGTTAGGATGATTTTTTTTTTAAATGGCCAATTTCGAAAGCTTATGTACGGGGTTTAATTCGGCTCCTACCTTCTTGGGCTTAGTTAAGCAAGCTCTAAACTGAATTCCGCCCTCGTAACTTAACTATGTATAATTGAATTTAAATCATAGTTTAATATGTATAATTTTTTTTTGAATAGAAACATTTAGTTTTATTAAAAGAAAAATATCTAAAATTATAATAAATATTTACAACTACAATCGTAAACTAAATACATAATTAGATTATTTTCTTATAATCATTTACCCAAGAAACTAGTCTCATGAGATCTTATAAATGAATATTTTAAGAAATTTCAATTATTTAATAATGAGAGTTCATTGTTGGTATTCGAATCTGTTAATTTTAGTAATAAATTCTTTTAACAACTAAGATAAGTTAGTTCGTTTTTAGTAATAACAACGATTCTTTTAACCACTAAGATAAATTAGTTTGTTCCCGCTAATAATAGCATATAATTATATAATCTTATTAAAAAAAGTTAAGGTAAAGAACACAAAAGATCCCCTAACTATAAGATATTAATTTGTTGAGTATCTCAACTATTAAAAATTATAAAATAGTCTCTAAATTATAGGACGTTATTTTTTTTAAGTCCTCCAATTATTAAAAGTTATAAAATTGTCACCTAACTATTCATATGTTCCAAACTCGTGTTTTTTTTTAAAAAATTAGCGGTCGTCTGAGCTTAATATTAATATGTTGACTTTGATATGATAAAATCTGATCCTAAAACCATTTGAGTTGTATTTTATGGATCAACTCTTCATTTATATTATAATGTCGATCCAATGCTTGAATGATTTTACTCTCAAGCTAGTGGTTGAGACCAACGACTGTATCAGTAAACATTATTAAACTATTATTTTATCATATCACAATCAGTAGGTTAACGTATAACTTAGCCGATCAACCGTTTTTTAACGAGAAAGGATGAATTTGGAATATATAAATAATCGAGTGACTATTTTAAAACTTTTAACAGTTGAGGGACTCAATAAATCAACATCCTATAATTAAGGATTATTTTATAACTTTTAAAAGTCAAGAGACTCAAAAGAATATCACTTTATAGTCAAGGACCATTTGTGTACTTTACCCCGAAAACTAACATGCAAGAAATCAAAATTCTTCGTCCATTAAAAAGCCAAATCCAGTATCACCCCCTTGTCTCTTTTCATTCCCAAATCCATACTTCAATTTCATTCTAGAAAAATACACCTAATAAATAAATTAAAAAATTTGGGACGGGAAATTTATACAGAAAATTCTTCAAAAAATTACAATTTTTCTTTTTTTTCTTTCCTTTTCTAATCGAAATGAAGGATGACGACACTCTGCCGACGACGACGACAGTGAATGTGAAAAAGGAAAGCGCAGATTCCTGCTTATTTGGCAGAGGCCGTTACAAGTTCTGGGCATTTGCCGCGATTCTGTTACTTGCATTCTGGTCGATGTTCACCGGAACCGTTACCCTCCGTTGGTCCGCCGGTAATCTTAACCGTCTTTCTGATGATATTAGTAGCCCCATTCACGACGATCTAGATGTCCTTGTATGTTCCCCCAAAACTTCTTTCTCCTTTCTAATGTTGCATTTTTTTTTTGGAAATATGTATTTTTTCTCTTTTTTTTTTAATTTTTTCTTGTTTCTCCGTTTTTTAGGAAATGGAGGAGAGGGAGAAAGTCGTGAATCATATGTGGGATGTGTACACTAACAGCCGTCGGATTAGATTGCCGAGATTTTGGCAAGAGGCGTTTGAAGCTGCCTACGAGGAGTTAACCAGTGATGTGCCTGGAGTTAGAGAGGCCGCAATTACTGAGATCGCGAAGATGTCCGTGCGCTACGTGGATTTTGATCCACCTCCCGTCATATCAACGGTGAGGATTTAGGGTTTCGTTTTGTAATTTATATTTGTCGTTTTAGCCTGGTTTTTTTTTGGTGATGTAGAACAGTTGTCGCTATTCATGCACTTAAGCAGTTCACCGAACAAATGAATAATTGTCCAATTTTACATGTAGTGGCAAAAAAGAAAAAAAAAGGTTTTCGTCTAATTTCTATTGGCTCTTAGCTTAAACTGATTTTTTTCTCAATTCATTATAATTAATTTTAAACCGACTACTGGTTTGCTACTTTCAATATGGTTTCGTTTTGAATGAAATTTGTTTCTATTACGATTGGTTAGTAGCTTAATGGATTCCCCGCTCATTGCTATTTCTTCTTTTTAAGATGAATTGCTCCTCATTGCTATTTCGTTTTCTACTTTGTGCAATGTTTAATTTTAATGCAATTTCCATTGCATTCAAACATTATTTTTGTCTTTTGATCCTCCCAAGTGTACAATTATGTGTACATATATGTACACACATATATAGTAGTGTATTTTTAATGCCATCATCCATTTGGGGAATTATCATTAATTGAATAAGATCCATAACTGGAAATTGACAGTGTAGGTTGTGTTTATATTCAGTTTGTTCCCAGGAAGGAGTCAATTTTGATGGCATTTCTGGTTAAGTTACTCTCCTTATTTGTTCTACCCATTCTATTAGAGTATTATAGAAATTAAATCCCCCACCTCTTCCTCTCTATAGGGGAAGAAATCTTATTCTGGATCTTTGTCCTCTCTAGTGTTTGAAGGTCCAATTAAGTAATGTTTTGCAATGAGATTGGAATGTCTATTCCACAAATTTTAGGAAGGGGATTGAGATGAAAGATTTGGTGGTTCGTTTTTCTGTTATCGAGGTCTATAGTACATAAGGCAAAAAGGAATAAGCTTAGGTCAAATGAATGAGACCGGATGTTGGTAAGGTTTCACGCTATGTGCTCTCTATATTGAATAACTAAGCATGCTATGTGCTCTCGTATTAGCTATTATGAAATGGTTTCCACATGTATACTCTCATCGTAAATTACAGTTTCCTGTCTTTTTAATGACCGTTTCCGTTGGTACCCTGTAATTATGTGATTACTTTTATTCTGAGATTTCATGTAATTGAACCCGTTGAAGTGCTCTCAATTCTCTATATTTGCTTTGGAATCTCACTTGTTAACTTGATGGCTTTATGCGGCACATGTAACTGATCAAGTTACATGGAGTCACTTCATGCTTTCATTTCTTCTTCCAGTTGTTTGCAGTTGCACTTTTAAGTTAACGAACCATAGGTTTTTCTAGATCTCAGAACCTGTTATCTTAAAGATTGTAGAGTCAGGACGTGGTCATTCTTTGAAGGTAGTGACTGCTCCCAGTTAAACGATGAGGGATTAATTGTCTTAACGAATAGTCTCATAGTAGAAAACTTTATTATGCATGAAAACCGGAAGGGTAAAATAACATATCCAATCTAGCTTCTAAGGTGGATTTGATTGTGCGGCTAGCAAAATAGCAGTTAGGAACAATTGAAAATGGAAACTCTTTACTTCATGCTGTTTGCTGTTGTTTTCTTTTGCTATAGCTTGGGGGATAAGACTGAAATTTAGTTCACATTGGTGTTGGAGTTTTTACCATTTATGTTTGCAGAGTGTAAGGGAACTGAGCAAGGGTCTAAAACGATCACTGAATGGTGGACCAGAGTAACTTCAAGCGGAAGTGGTCAATGATGCGAAGGTTGCTTGATCTTAGGAGTTAAAAATTCTTCATCACTTTTTATACTCTCATTTTGGTGGAGAGCTGCCCAAGTTTATCAGAGGTCACGGTCGGAAAAAACCATATAGTTCACGTTTGTTATCACAGGGACAAACTATGTATTTATCTTAGTTAGGTTCATAATTCTTTTTTAAGTTGTTGCTGTCAATGTTTTGTTCTATGGATTTGGCAGTAAAGAGGATTAATAAGCCATCATAAGTGCACATTTTGAACAATCAAATGATTCAGACTGAAATTAAACAAGATAAAGAACTAGCTACATATCTCTGCGTTAGTTTATTTTAAAACTGCACCCAAAAAAAAAACACTTCCCCCATCATCTAATTCCCAATAGATAAACAACGAAAGCAAAAGAAAACTCTAATCTTTTAGTTTTACGTCCCCTGCGCCGCTTTCCATGCTTTCTTTTCTTTTTCATCGTCAGGGATGATATCAACTTGTCATCATCATGATAAAAAAAATAGGGATTTGGAAGAAACATGTGAAGAAATTAGGGTTTCAATAAAAGGCGGGAGATGGAGTACGGGCATAAGAGAAAATAAGGAAGAACAAAACACTAATGGCTAAAACCAAGGAGAATGGATCGATTATTGCTAATCGGTAGGTTGAAGCTTTACGAGGAAGGTGGGTCGTGCATTGCTGCCGAAGAGAAGTCCAAATTGGCGACCCAAGCATTGAAGAAGGGTTAGGAGTTTGTTAGCAGCAAGGAGAAGGATGCAACAAGTATCATTAAGTACTATGTTCGTGCTGTAATTTGAATATATATGAAAGAATGAGGTACCGAGAGATGTTATGCAGAACTTTTATCAATGAACTTTATCTGATTTCTTCTTCTCATATTTTCATTAAAAGTACAGAATTTCACAGTTATATTGTGAGAAATTGACATGAGAGCATGTTAATTAGATCCATTTTCAAATTGGGAAGACCAAAGAGAAAACAAAAGAGAGAAAAATCATTATGTCTGCTATTCAAGAGCATATATATATATATGTATATATTATACAAGGTCAACAAAATGAAATGAATGATGAAACTAAGGTTCCTAATTAGTGCAAAGGACAAAAAAAGCAATGTGAAAGGGATATTCAGTAACTTGGAGTCGAGTTTTGATGAGAATCAAGGGTATATGACGAGTATACAAAATTTGTTGTCTAGAAAGGAAGGGGAGACAGTAATCATATCATGAAATCATTCATTAAAATAGGGTAAAATATAAAAATGGTACCCGATTATAACTTATTATTTTAATGAATTTCCCTACTATTAAAAATTATAAAATGATCCTCTAACTATAGATTGATGCTTTGTTGAGACCCCTGACTATTAAAGGTTATAAAATGGTCACCCGACTATTCATATGTTATAAACTCGTCATTTTTCATTAGAAATTTGACAGTCGTCTGAGTTGGACGTTAACTTATTGACTAGGATATTGATAAAATCATATTTTAATAATATCTACTGACACCGTCGTTGCTTTCAAGCACTGACTCGACAACATAATGTAAATGGAGAGTATATCCATAAAATATAGTTCAAACAAATATGTGATCAATTTTTATTGTATCTCAGTCAATATGTTTACGTCTACCTCAAACTATCGTCAAGTTTTTTAATGAAAAAAGGATGAGTTTGAAAAATATGAATGGTAAGTTAACCATTTTGTAAATTTTAATAGTCAGGGAACTCAATAAAACTATAACTTATTGTCAATGGATCATTAACTTTTAATAATAAGGGGACTCAATAAAGCAGCGTTCTATAGTTGAGGACTATTTATGTATTTTACCAATCAAAATATAAATAAGGTACGTGTCAATACTCAGTTTAGATAAGACGGAAAGAAACCTATTCAAGCAACGATAAGAACGAAAATAGAAGGTACTCTTATAAACATAATAAACCGAGGATACTTTCCACAAACTCAAACAATAAACTTGAAGCCAAACAACATCCGGAATTTATTTTCTAAACCAAAAAAAAAAAAAAAAACAACACTAAAGATAAGAAGTGATCCTGTTGAAACCGGTGAAACTTTAACTTTTAGTGAATCCTTCATGCTTGAGAGTAAGAGTGTAAACGAGCCGAGTCGACTCGGAAACTCGTGAGTTTGAAATTTTTAAACTCAACTCAAATTCGAAATCCTGAACTGAAGCTCGTGAGCAGCTCAAAAAGGCTCGAAATGAAAAAAAAAATCTTAAAGTTAACTTGATTGAAGCCTCAAATTCAAATTCGAACATGAACCTTAAATATATGAAATCTTACTATATTTTTAAAAAAAATCAATACATAAATATTAATATTATTAATAATTTATTTAAAAAAAATAAAATTTTAATATATTATATTTTCGAGCTGCTTACGAGCTTATCGAGTAGTTCATTTCGGCTCGTTAAGAACTCGAGTCAAGTCCATTCGATCCGAGTATTTATCAAGCCTTGATCGAGTCGATCTCGAGTAGCTCACGATCTGTCTTGTCTCATTTACAGCCCTACTTGAAAGAATACTAAAAAAAATTGATCCAAATTATAATTAATAATTAAGTTAGATTTTATTGTAATTTTAGTGGTTGAAAATTATTTGGTAATTATGTTTATTTAATAAAATAAATATTTATTTTAGACAAAAATTCTTATTCCATAAGAATTCTTTGTGATTAAGTATTTGACTCTATAAATAGAGATAATGTCTTAAGCTTTAGAATTATGTGAGATAATTATTTTGGAGAGACATAATCCCTTTTTAAAATTTATGCAACTTTTAGGATTTATGTAGAGATAGTTTTGTAGGGATATTGAGATAGTTTTGAAGGCATATTGAGAGTTTTTTTTTATATACCGGATTATGGGATGCATGTGATACAATGTACTTGTACTCTTCGTGTTCTCTATGCTTATAGTGAATTATTGTTTATCTCACCCGTGAAAGTAGACAATATCGAACCACGTTAAATCTCATTTATTCCGCATATATTAATTTATGTTGATATCACTTTGATTATTTTTCTCCTCTTAAATTCTTAACAGGAGAATTCTACTTACTAGGTGTTGAAGTAGTGAAAGTTGCTGTTCTTGAAGCCTTACAACCATTACTAACAAATACCAATATGTGTTTGAGGAACGAACATGAATGCCCCAAAGAGAGCTCGTGACCATACAATGACTCTTAAGTTAAGGAGTTTAACCCGTTAACCTAAGACCATACACCAAATAATAATTCAATCCAATCTTTGCTGATAACACAAGTCGATCATTATTTTGAGTCAATTCCAATTACCTACAATATCATGACAAATCAAATGAAATTTCCAGTAGTGGTGAGCTATTAAGCTACTATTCTAGTTCATGGAACTAACACTATCTATCTCCTAATTGATGCGAATGATCCTTAACATTAAATAGAATTATACAAAAATCAGGGTTGTTGTTTTGGTCGTTTAATCAATTTAACAGTAAAATTCTTGAAAGAAATAAAACTCAAATTGTTTACTCTTTAGGGACTGCTTCATGGCATTAATTTAGCTATTATTTTTCTGTGTTTCCAGCAGTAAATTTTCCAGCCTAGCTTAACCTACAATTCTTATAAAGGAAAACAAAATCCGAACAACTAATTACCACAATTTAAGTCGTTATTGAATTCGTAATGGCTAAACAAACAGAGCAGCATATTAGACCAAGTTTCTAGCAGGAACTCACTGCATTTTTACTCCAAATTACAGCCCCTACACGACTTGATAGTTGACGCATTGGTATTAGATTTTGATGGAGAATTTGATAAACGGATGAATAATAGATTTATTATTGTTATATAATAATTGGTTATTAATAAAATAAATAAAAACATCTAATCGTTCTCTTTCATGCTCTAAATCGATTGTAAAAACTTGAAAGATAACGTCGAAAATTAGATAAATTCCAAGGAATTACTGCGAAAGGGTTTTTTTTTCATTTGAATGTCAATGTGTATTGGTTCCCATGAATTACTGCATTTACTTTTAAATCCAGACTGATCTTAGTCTCTCTTTTCTGCACCTGATGGTGCAAGGAATGAAGAAGTGGAAAGATAATTTATTACAAGATTAAACAATCCTTTTAAAATATATTATAAAAAAAGTTTATGTGCTCCCCAAATTTTTATTAGTGCAGACATCCTGGATTTAAGGAAGAATCATTGACATGAAGAAACATTTGAGGTTTCATCTTATCTAGGTTAGAAAGTTGGTCCTTTTGAGGTTTCATCTTCCAATTGTGATCCTCCATCCAATAATTTTCTCTGTCTGTATAATGGAAACAATAAGCAAAGCTATGATCATTTTTTTATAAACATGTTTTCTAAACATGACACTTAAAGATGATCGCATAAATCAACTAGATATGCCATGATTTGTGAGGCGTACTTTGTTTATGAAAGTCTATTTTGAAACCAAAATTAGACAGTAAAGCAAGAAATAGTAAAAAAAAAAAAAACTAAAATAGAATACCCAACTCCAAAATAATCAAGAGTAGCTGAAACAATAGGAGCTTCAATGGCAATTTTAACATACACACTTTTCTCACTTTCCCTTGAGAACCCTTTCATCTTCTTCTACTGGGTATCATTTCTCTTCCAAGTTCTCATGTTGTTCAAGGTTAACATAAAGTTCATTGCATGAATTTCACCATGCAAGATCAATGCATAACACATTATTGTCGAAGGTTGATAAGTGTTTATTTTAGTTAATATTTTACTTTTAAATTACTCTTTAATCATTGATTTTTGTGGCTTATTTGTTCATTTTAATTCATTTTCTGTACATGACGTAAGCTTCTGGAAATTGCACAAAAAGGACACAATTATGCAGCTTTTCATTTTCTGAATCAAAGCTGGTTGGAATTCAGATTTAAATTAAACTCAAGTTTAGGATATTATTTTTATATTTTATCTCTGTTTTAAGTATTTTAGTTTAAATAGGTTTTAGTATTTTAATTAGGATTTAGAATATTATATTATTTTTTAGGTATTTTAGTTTAAATAATTTTAAGTGTTTTAATTAAGATTTAAGATATTTTAGCTTGTTTTTAGGAATTTGAAGACTATAAATACCCTCTAAGGGTGAGCTTAGAAATATATGTCTTTAATTTGAGAATAAAATCTTCTTTTTCTCTCTAGCTTTCTCTCTATTTTTCGCATACTTTTCTATTAGCTAATTCTCTTTCAAGTCGAAGGCTAAAGCGAAAGCTCAATTCCAAACGTGAGAATTGCAA